ACCGCTGGTTGTCAACAAACAACTTCTCAATTTCAGAGCCAATTTCAACTTTACAACGAAAGATATTAGACTCAAGACAACGCAAGTTCAACTTCACGACGAAGGGACCGCTGGTTGTCAATAAACAATTTCCCAATTTCAGAGCCAATTTCAACTTCACAGCGTAGGATATTGGACTCAAGACAACGCAAGTTCAACTTCACGACGAAGGGACCGCTGGTTGTCAATAAATAACTTCCCAATTTCAGAGCCAATTTCAACTTCACAGCGAATGATATTGGACTCCAGACAACGCAAGTTCAACTTCACGACGAAGGGACCGCTGGTTGTCAACAAACAACTTCTCAATTTCAGAGCCAATTTCAACTTCACAACGAAGGATATTGGACTCCAGACAATGCAAGTTCAACTTCACGAAGAAAGTATCGTTGGTTGTCAACAAATAATTTCCCAATTTCAGAGCCAATTTCAACTTCACAGCGAAGGATATTGGACTCAAGACAACGCAAGTTCAACTGCACGACGAAGGGACCACTGGTTGTCAATAAACAACTTCCCAATTTCAGAGCCAATTTCAACTTCACAGCGAAGGATATTGGACTCCAGACAACGCAAGTTCAACTTCACGACGAAGGGACCGCTGGTTGTCAACAAACAACTTCTCAATTTTAGAGCCAATTTCAACTTCACAACGAAGGATATTGGACTCCAGACAACGCAAGTTCAACTGCACGACGAAGGGACCACTGGTTGTCAATAAATAATTTCCCAATTTCAGAGCCAATTTCAACTTCACAGCGTAGGATATTGGACTCAAGACAACGCAAGTTCAACTTCACGACGAAGGGACCGCTGGTTGTCAATAAACAACTTCCCAATTTCAGAGCCAATTTCAACTTCTCAGCGAAGGATCTTGGACCCAAGACAACACAAGCTCAACTTCACGACGAAGGGGCGACTGATTGTCACAAAATTTCATTCAGAGTCATTTCAACTTCACAGCGAAGAAATGGACTCGAGACAACACAAGTTCAACTTCACAATGAAGGGACGGCTGGTTGTCAACAAATAATTTCCCGGTTCCAAAGCCAATTTCAACTTCACGACGGAGGATATTGGACTCAGAACAATGCTACTTACTTGGATTTCAACTTCACGACAAAGTATATCCAATTTCAGGCTCAACTTCACGACCAAGGGGCCACCCGCGGTTTTAACTTCACGACGAAGGGAACCGTGGACACAAGCATCATCCATCTTTAGATTGGATTTCAACTTCACGACGAAGGATATCCAACTCAAAGAAGGAGTATCTGTCAACAAAGACCTTCGAGTTCGACTACGCTCAGCTCCAAGGCACATCATTTACAGCATAACTCAAGGCTAGAAGGGTTATCTGCCATCAAAATTGTCGAGTTCGATTCCATTTAGCTCGATGACACATCAATCGCACTACTTTCCAGTTGCAGTCGAGGTTTTTAAGTCGAGAAGAGGACCTGGGTTAACCTTGCTTTAGTGACAAGCAACCATTTTCAAGCAAAAGCTATCTGTCAATGAAGATTTCTCAGTTCGATTCTGATCCAAGGTCTTTAAACCGAGAAGAAGACCGAAGGGCAACGAGAAGCCACGTGCTGATTCAAATTCCGAACTATGGCTTCAATTTCATATCATTTCAAGATGAACTCGGCTTCACGACGGAGGAGTCATCCGTAACGCAATTCGGCAGGGAGTTATTGAAACATCAGAGTCAATTTTTAACTCCACCGAATGAAAAGTGTGTCTTTTAATCTTTGTCCTATCCCCGTTACACGACTATGGGCAAAGAGGGGCAGCTGTCAACACACATTTTCGTCCTACTAGGATTCAAACTCCTAAAAATAGGATAGAATTTTGCTAGGATTCAAACTCCTTAAAATAGGATAGAGTTCTACTATGATTTAAACTCCTAAAGATAGGATCCACAAGCACTATAAATAGCCATTGTAACTCACTATTGTAAGAGAGGATTTACAGACAAAATACAGAGGAAAACACGGAAAATACAAAGGCAAAGCTATTGTAAACGATTCGAAAAGGAAATAAAAGGTAGCATTTTTTTTGATTCGTTCATTTCTCGCATGTGCACGTTATTTTTTTGAGATTTGGTTTGAATAACCCAAAACGTGGGTTGCGTCGATGACAAAAAATGGGTGGGGTTTCGAACCTAGATCTACCCCGAGGCGTGTTCATTTTTTATCCCCCTAATGCGTAATATCAACGTTAATTGTCTTTCAAATTTGGCCCCAATCTTTATTTTTCTTTATATTAGTCCTTTTATTTATTGTATAGATTTTTTATTTATTTACATTATTGTCATTATATAAATATATATACGTATGTTCTTTTAAATGATTTTCAATTGATTTTTTTACACTATATATTATTATTATCTATACATATATTTTTTATTTATTTATATTCATTTGGTTATTTTTTAATACTATATTTATTATATATTATATATATACTTTTTTAAAAAAATATTTTACTTATAAGCGTATTATTACTATATATATGTATATATATTGTAATTATCTTTATTTAGTTTTTTTTTTACTTTATCATTATACATTATATGTATGTTTTAAATAGTTATTTATAAGCCAATTATCATTATATGTATACTTTTATATTTGGTTATATATTTATTTATTTTTGGTTTTGGTTTTTTATATTATATTATATATATTTTTATATTACTATTATTATTGTTATGATTATTATTTTTCTATTTTACTCATTTATATATATATATATATATATATATATATATATATTAATATTTCATTTATTTATTTATTTATTTTTCCTTTTATTTTTTTTACTTATTTTTATTCTTCATTTTTTCATTTATTCATTTTTTCCCTCTGACACATCTTATGACTTTTTAAGGGTATTTTCGTCAATTAATCAGAGGTAAGTAATTCATTATCAAATTTTACCTTTTAATTTAAAATTACAATTTTCTTAATTAAGATAACGGGAAATTACGTAGTACTGAAAGGGCGGTTCAAGGGTGCTAATCCTTGCTTGACCGTAACTGATTCCTGGATCCGACATATCACTGGTAAGACGCAGATCAGGTAAGAAATAAGGTATCCGATCAACCCACTTTTCGTAAAGTAAATGATCGGTGGCGACTCCCAATCCATTTTTCACGTCGAAGCCCAATTCCGGAGCACAACTGAAAGACGGTTACGACACAGTTGACAGTTTCTAAGTGTTCTTCACACGGATCCTTCATATGTTGGTTGACAATGCTTACTGAGTAAGCAATATCTGGTCTACTAAGTGATAGATAGATTACTTGTCGAATAACCTTGGTATTGATCTTTGTTGACTGGAACTCCCCCTTCATTTTTCTTTAATTTAAGATTAGGATCGTTGATGGTTCTGTTAGTTTGCACCCAAGCATACATGTCACGTTTAACATGTCTATCACATACTTCCTCTAAGAGGTCACAATCCCTGCTTTAAATCGAACCACCTCCATCCCTAGGAAGTACTCGAGAGCACCAATTTTTTTGATTTCAAAGTCAACAACAAGCTACCCTTTTAACTTCGATTATTTCATCTGTGTCATCTTGTGTTGCTATAATATCATCAATGTAGACAATAAGAAAGATCTCTTCACCTTTTGAGAAGGTTTTCACAAACAAGTTATGAACAACTTGACACTGATTGTATCTATATGTAACCATTGTTTTGGTAAAGCTGACAAACCATGCCGAGAGGACTTTCAGATTATAGAGAGATTTCTTTAATTTTGAACATTTTTTGTCCATTTGATTGACTTTCTAAGGTTTAAGGTATATTCATGTACGTAGAAAAAGGCATTCTTGACATCAAGTTGATAATAATCTCATGTGATTGCATGAACCCTTTTGTCATCAGTCTTGCTTTGAACCTTTCAATGTTTTCATCTTGACTATGAAAATCCACTTCCATTCAATTTCTTTTTGTGGTAGTTCTGTGAGAGCCCAAGTACCACTGCTTTCTACGGCTTTAATTTCTTCTTGAACTGCCTTTTTTTCATGCTGGAATCTTCAAGATTTTTTGAATCGATTTTGGAATTCGTATACAGTCAAGTGATGCAATGAAAGCTCTGTATGACGACATCAATTTTTCACAGGTTATATATCTCTTAATAGGATGATTAGTACATTTTCGAACTCCATTTCTCTGAGTAATGGGTAATTCAAAATCATCAACAAAATGTACTATGAAAGTGTTTGGTTCAAGGATTGTGGGATTCCCATGGGATGGGAATCCCACATTCCCATGTTTGGTTGGCTGGAAATCTCATTCCCAGTAATGTTTTATTATCAATAGTAGATTTTTTGAGGTATATTATCGGGAATGTCATTACCTCCCTTCCCTTAGATATTATAACATTATTGGCGTTTTGGACTAAAATGCCCTTAAATTTTTATTTTTTTCAAAAATATCCTTCTTCTGTCATTGAATAATAAAAATTCTACGAAGGTTAAATTACAAATTTATCCTTAAATTATTTTAGATTTACAAAAAAAAGTCTATAATTAAAATTTTATATGAAGTTCAGGGGTTAAAAAAATTTTACCCTTTCATTAAACTTTTTTTATATTTTAATTTTGTAAAAAAAAATTATATAAATATTATGAATTAATTTTTAAAGAAAATATAAATATTTACAATTTGTAATATTATACAAATATATAATAAGGACAATTTGGTCAAATATACATTCCAATAATCTTTTATTCTTTTAACCAAACACGGTAATCTTACATTCCTGCTAAACTAACCAAACACAAAATACAACATTCTCAGTAATCCTATTCCCTGGTAATCTTTTATTCCCACTGGTAATCTTACATTCCGTGAACCAAACGCACCCTAATAGGCTAAGAATTGCAAAAGTGCTATAATAGAAAAATAAAAACCTGCTTATTTTCATTCATGTTTCTATTTTCATGTAGGCACTTTTGGTGAGGACAGTGAATGATTATACAAGTGTGGAATTTGATTCAAAATCGAGCAGCTTAGAGATTCGGTTAATTCAAAGTCAGGATGACATCCGGAATCCGAAATTGACATTCAAAGCTCAAAAATACACCTGAAAGCTAATACATGATCAATGATGTGTATTGAAGTAACAATGACCCTCTTGTTTTTTAGTAAAAGGTATAATGCTATACAAAGTTTATACCATTGTGTTAGAATAAAGAATAGACATCAAAATGGATGGAAGAAAGAGATACTTGTGTTAGAAAATGTCACGTGACTGTTTTGTATATCAAGTATACCAATTGCTTTGTTATTTGAATCTCGTGTGCTACTTGTGTAATAAATGAGACATTACTTTCAGCTAAACCAAACATGCTATTAAGTACATTATAGTACTTTCAATCGGTGTAGAGATAGAATAGATATTTCTAAGAAGCTGAATTCATGAACGTTTTTTTTACTTCGAAGTTCTTTTTTAATAATTGGAATGATTATAAAATAATATATTCATAATTTCTCTTAGTCGTTGATAATACATAATCCCTGTAGACGTAACTGCTTAAATCTGAAACATCTAAGGATAATACATTCACTCGAAAGAAATTATTTTATTATGTGGGTAAGCAGCTAGAAAAATCACTACTTTTTAATTGCGGAAGACGGAAAGAAGAAAATATAAATGAAATCGCAAATGTCGGAAAAACCAATTCGAATCGAACTATACTTAATATAATCAAAATCCAAAAGTAATCTAACCTGAACTCAATTCAAATGATCCATTTATCACCTCTACTTGCAATGTAAACAGGGATAGAATAAGATCTTGCTGGAGCCTTGAATGTCGGAACCAACCTCATCCATATAAAATTTGAAAATATGGTAGGGTATAATAGTAACCAATGGTAAATTGCGAACATTGAACGTGCTGACTGTTTGTTTCGATCAATAGAAAAAACATAAACGAATCAGAATCTGATATTTGGATGACTAGATTTCATAAACCAACCAGTCCAAAACATGAAACTCAGACACTCCCCCACGTCGCAAACAACTGAATCATGATTCATATTTCCAAAACATGGAATCATTCAGTAATACCTCATTTACATTTTGCACTAGCTTTTTATACAAGTCACTACGTTGTGGTACTTTATGACGGATTCAGAAATTCTTTTGAGAGTGGGATATATAAATACTTTTATAAATTTTCATATGAAATGAACACAAATAATTTTTTTAAGTGGACAATATCAATAAAATAAATAATTAATAGGAAAAATATTAAATTTCGAGACAGACAATTACTCACTCTAAAACACATTTGCATCCACCATAGTGGTACGGACAAACAGTTGGTTTAAATTATGGTTTCAATGCAAAATCAAATTATTCATAATAATATTCAAAATAAAATTTTAATACCCTAATTTTGTCCGGACAATTTGAATTCATTGACGATGATCGAGAATTAATTTGGAAATATTCGTGCTCAATGAAGAATTAGTTTGAATGACATAGGGCATTAATGAAGGATGAAGGGAAGCTTGCATTGGGGTTAATATGGAAATTGAGAAACTTTGGTGCTTAAATTGGATTGATATCGTATGTGTTCATTTTGGAAATCGAGATATAAATTAAAAGTCGATCCAAAACCCAAATTAAGTGTCTAAAGTCCCTTTACAAACCAAATTACAAATAATGAACCCAGTTGGAGCCTAATTACAACCCAAATTAATTACAAGCTCAAGACCCGAACACCCCACGTGAAGGCCTTGTTCTGCTCCACAACACCCGGTCACCAGCTGTGCAAACCTCTCCCACATGATGTACCAGAATTGAGCAGCATCCATGTCTCCTATGTGAACACACACAACAAACCCATGCAGCTCGACTACCAACAACAGCCCATACTGGAACAACACCCACGTGACTACCCATGCCGCCCATGCCTCTCGTGAAGACCCCATCACCTGCAAAATACCAGACATTAGCATATTTAACACATAGTGGGGAGCAGCATATTATTAACATATCAGTAATGAGGCATCAACCATTAATACACCCATAGCCGCGAAACAGTGCGCATGTCCACCAAGCACTCACCCGCACCTGTCGGCCACTCACCGAAGCCACTACCGCCATTCATACGCACTTTGCTCGAGCAATAACCAGCAGAACTTGTTGTTGTTTTGAAAGATGCCATGGAATATAATACGGGGCATTACATTCAAAGGGAGCTCAGAAATGTTGTGGAATTCGGGTTAATTTCCACCAATAAACAAATTCACCTTGAAAACTATTATCTAGGTGACTAGTGTGAAAACGATTGTACTAAAAATCACCCCAAGGTAGATTCCCAGGAAAGAGGAGGGGTGACAATGGCCCCTCTTAAAATCCACTTTCCTTAGACAGAACTACCAAGACAAGTAATTTTAATAGGACAATAATTAACAACAACTATACCCGACAATAGCTATTAAATAGACATAAAGAGAACACCAAAATTTAACGAGGTTAGGCCAAAATTATGCCTACCTCCTCGAACACTACTAAAATAATATTTCACTAATATAGGAAATATTACAAAGAGAGAAAAAGTACAAATAGCCTTTAATAGTGAAGAAGGCTTATATTTATGGATGCTAAACTAGAAGGAGGATGGCTCTATTATAACCAAAGAATTTCCCTCCTCCTTTTACAAAACCAATGTGGGATATTTGCCAAAAACCAACAAATCTCCACCTTGGCAAATTCCACACACGTCTCTCAAAAAATCTAATCTTCAGTAGTGTCTGCAAATTCATCTTTCAATTTGTAACAATATTGACCAAGTCTAAACAATGTTTAAACTTGACCGCATTACCACTTTTGTCAACATATCAGCAGGATTCTCAGTGATCCGAATCTTTTGGATTATGACTCTACCTACTTCTAGAATCTCTCATACAAAGTGATATCGAACATCGATGTGCTTCGTCCTTGCATGGTAAACTTGGTTCTTTGCTAAATGAATAGCACTCTGACTGTCACAATGCACTTTGATGTGCTTTTGTTCCATTCCCAATTCACTAAACAACCCTTGAAGCCAAATTGCCTCCTTCACAGCCTCTGTAACTGCCATATACTCTGCCTCTGTAGTAAACAAAGCCACTGTTGACTGTAAGGTGGACTTCCAACTGATTGGTGCTTTTGCAAATGTAAACACATAACCAGTAGTGATCGACGCTTGTCCAATCACCTGCATCTGAATCACAATACCCAACTACACACTGACCATCTTGTTTGTCCTGCTGAAAGACCAAACCAAAATCTACGGTGTTCAGAATATACCGCAGAATCCATTTCACAGCTTCCCAATGCTCCTTTCCAGGATCATGTATATACCTACTCACAACCCCAACTGCCTGTGAAATATCAAGTCTCATACACACCATTGCATACATTAAGCTACCAACAACACTTGCATACGGAACCTTTGAGATGTATTCCGTTCTGCATCATCCTTAGGTGACATGGATGCACCGAGCTTGAAATGAGGAGCAAGAGGTGTACTAAACTGGTTTTGACTTCTCATTCATGCCAAAACGTTTTAGTACCTTCCTCAGATATTCTTTCTGAGACAAACAAAGCCTCCCCAATTTCTTATCCCTTGATATCCATGCCTAGAATCTTCTTTGCTTCACCAAGATCTTCATCTCAACTCCCTGTTCAATGAGTCTTTAGTTTCGCAATTTCTGTCTGACTTCTGGAAGCTATCAGCATATCATCAACATAAAGAATAAGATATATAGGATCCGTCTTGTAGCTTACGTAAATACATACAATGATCATAATTGTTTATGTACTTCTGCCCTATCATAAACTTGTCAAATCGCTACTTGGATTGCTTCATCTGTATAGCGATTTTTCTAATTTGCATACCATCTCTTCTTTTTAGCAACTTTGAATCCATCTGGCTGAGTCATGTAGATTTCCTCATCCAAGTCTCCATGTAAAAAATACAGTTTTTACATCCATCTGAACTAGTTCCAAATCCAACTGTGCTACCAAGGATAAAATACTTCATTATAATCAACTCCCTGTGTTTGAGCGTAGCCTTTAGCCACCAATCTTACTTTGTAGAGGATGTTATTCTTGTCAGGAAATCCATCTTTCTTTGCATATACCCACTTACACCCAATTGCTTTCTTTTCCTTCGGATGACTAGCTAGTTTCCGCATCTAATTCTTTTGAAGGGATTGCATTTTTTCATTCATGGCGATCCTCCATTTTTATGTATGAACTTTGGACCGCTTCATTAAAAGTGGCAGGAACGTCATCAATTGCAATTGGTGATACAAAAGAGACCATATCAACATAACGAGCAGGTTGTCTAATGGTCCTCTTTCCCTTTCTGAGTGCAATTGATTCATGTGCTGTGGAGGTTCTTGGGTCTGAACTCTTCTCATCTGACTCTTCTACCATAGGAGAGTCAACATCAGTTCTTACTGGCTGGGTCAATTCTGCTTCCTTCAAATCCACTGTTTGGGAGTTCCATCTGTCTGCTCCAATTTTTCTGACATGGTAGATTCATCAAAGGTAAATCCCTGCTGAAGATTATTTCTTTGTTTCTGGACACCAAAGACGATAGTCTTTCATATAGAGGTGATCCCTATAAAGATCGCCTTCTTTGCTCTTGGATCCAGCTTTGACTCCTTAACATGGTAGTATGCAGTGGAACCAAACACATGTAAGGAATCATAATCTGTAACAGGTACTCCAAACTATTTCTCTAATGGTGTTTTACCACCAATAGCAGTCGATGGTAAACGGTTGACAAGGTGACAAGCATAGACCAAAGCCTCAGCCCAAAATTCTTTGCCTAACCCAGCATTAGACAACATACACCGAACCTTCTCCACTAATATTCGGTTCATACACTCTGCCACCCATTCTGTGTGTACTTCTGACAGTGAAGTGCCTGACAATACCTTCTTCTTCACAGACTTTCAGAAATGGATCATTTTTGTACTCTCCACCATTGTCTATTCGGAGACGTTTGATTTTTCTGCCTGTTTGAGTCTCCACCATCTTTTTCATTTAAGGAAAAATCTAGCACCTATCCTTTGTTTTCATTGTATACACCCAAACTCTCCGAGAAAAATCATCAACAAAGGTGATATAATAGTGTGTTACTCCCAATGAAGTTGTCTTGTAAGACCCACATACATCTGAATGAA